TAAATGCGATTTTTTTTGCTGTTGTATTTAATGGCCCGCGAGGCGCCATTTTTACATTAAGATTTAATTTTTAGATTAATAATATCGCGTATGTGCCGTTAAAGTCGTGACACTAACGTCTTGTTTCCACTATAAAACGAAAATTCGTTAAAAAAAGTATTTCGAGAGTTTTATGTAGTCGTTTAAGTCGTTTTTAATTTCGAAAATATTTTAATTGAATCCTCCTTAGGTCACCGAATTGTGTAACTGTTGAAAAATTAAATTAAAATCACAGTCCATCACTTCTCTTTGGATATGTGGACCACCTACGAGAGTATATCACAAAAATGTTTAATTAACCACTCCATTCAACTGGCTAATTATGGTATAAGCGAATTTAATTTCATGAACATTCAATTCAACAGAAAGTTAATAATTATCTAGGCTGGGCTATTCCAAGTGTGGTCAATAAAAATCAATAACTATCAACGATTTTTCTAATAATGAATATTTAAATCATTTATTTTATTGTTTTTCGTGATTACAAATTTAATGTACACGTTACCTAATAATTCTATTGAAGTATTGAATTTCTCTATGTACACTTATTGTTATTTTAAAACTGCGGAATTCATTTACGTCTTGAATTTTTTTTGCATCGCTACAAAATATTATATGTGCCTGTTTATATAAAAGTTTTTCAACCTTTAGTTCTTAACTTACTTTTTACATGAATAATCTACAAATTTACCATAAATAGTTCATAATTTCCTCGGCTAGGCCGTAATTTACGATTCCTCGCAGCGACAAATGCTTTTTAAAGAAAGGATGTTTAAATTTGCGTTATTTTATATCCGAAGAGCTCGAGCGTTTTGTTTACTATTAATTAATCATCCCGTGAAAGTTTGTCAACTGAATTGTTTTCTTTGTTCGTAATTACATTCGCGCTTAAATATGAAAATAGTACCGGGAAATGCATCAAAGTATTAAGCTTGCAACAAAATAATATATTTTTGGGCGCTTTCACTCAATGCCTTTTTCGAATGTATGATATTACCTAAAATATAAACTGCTCCACAAAAATTAAGGAAGCTCGCAAATTTTGCGATTATTTTAAAAGTCACAGATTTTTTGATCACCAAATTTTCAAATACGCGAAATTAAATGTTTTCTTTCGTATCTGAGTGGATTTTTTGTCCCTACCTCTATAACTCATACTAAATTTGGAGATCAAAAAACCTGCAACATTTAAATTAATCTTAATATTTGTGAATTTCCCTAACTTTTGTGGAGCAGTATATTTCGTTTATCAAAAAGAAGTAATCCTCTTATTATTAAATAAAATTATACAGTATACAAATTTAGTTATTTTTATAGGAAAAAAGTACCTTATCTAGAAGACAGCTGGCTCCGTATCCGATTAAAAATACACGAAAAAAAAAATCCCCTCACTCCAGTCCTAATCGGTCGACACCAATCACTTCACTTACCGGGAATGAGAAAAAAACCTCAACCAGAGAGATGCGATATAGGAGGGCACGCGCGCGAATTTCTTGAAGCGGCGCCGCAGCGGATGCTCCCGTGGTCCTGCTATCACGAAGACGGCCGCAGTACGAGTGCCGTTCGCAGGATCTCGCTAATGCCGGCTTGCGGCACTCTCGCCACGAGCGACGCGGTATCGACCACGCGTCCCGCCGTGTATTCTTCCTTCGATTTACATAGCGCGACGATTCGGGCGCGATTGTTTTTGATTTTCTCGGCGCCACGCCGAACGTACCGCTTTTTCTCCTGCTGGCTTTTTTTTCCGCAATTTCAAATTCAAACGGCATGCTAATGAAGCTCGATCCAGTATAAAAATCGTTTAATGGAATTATGATGACACCCTTTCGAATTATAGTTCGATTAAGCGCAATTGAATGTTATTCGATTATATAAAACGCGCAGCCGGATGACTGTATACATTTTGCATTAGAACGAGCGAGAGGGCGGCGAAATTCGCCCTTTGCAAAGTAAATTTCGATGTCGACGACAGCCAGAAGGGACTGATAGGGTTCGGGATCCATATTAGGTTCAATTATTTTAACGAGGCGTATTGCCACGGCTGCCAATTTCGAAAGCACCCTAGATAATATATTATACGACTAAGGCTTTTGCTATAGTTCATAATCGAATTATTCCACTATACTTTCGATTTCGAACACGTGCACACTATACCGCTTTCCACAACTTAATTATCAAAGATACAAAAAACAATCTAATATGCGGTCCACCTGCTGGGAAGCGTTTAATTTCCACGCTGTAATCTGCCTGATATTTACCACATATAAGTCCTTCTAGTAAGGAGATGTAAACCGCGTATTAGGCAAGATAGTTTAGGGTGGAATAGACCGCATGCGAAATCTGTAATAATAAAGTTAACATAGCATTCCGCATGACTCACGCACCGTAAAATCCTCAGTGCTGCATTTGAATACCCGACTTAATAACGAAGATATTAATTTAGCACGTAGGAAGTTCTGTATAGGCATGTCTGTATCTGTACCCCGCCTCGCTTCGATCCCTATAGGGAAATACACACAATAATACGAGGTCTGAAATACAGTCGTGCACGCCGTATGCATACGTATCGCGTTTGCGGTCCAGACCCTTTTCCAGGCGATACACATTCGCACTCTATCCCGTTACAATTGTTCCAGATTTGCGCAGCCACTTAACCCACTAAGGTGTAACCAGCAGATTAATTCGTTCCGAAATGCCACTGGCGAATAATAAAAAAAAAAGTAGTCTGGATAAAATTGCAGATAATGTTAGTGTCGACGTCCGAAGGATGGATTCGATTCGGAGCGACTTCGAAATCGATTGGGGCCACGGTGGCGCCGGAACGGCTCCAGTATCGCAAACTCCGGCTCCCTATTCTACGTATTCGGGACGCGAATGAATCGTCGGGAGCCTCTTTTCGCGAATGCACCGGCCAAACCCCCCCGCAGTGGCGCAACCACATCCATCGCAATAAACCCGATGAAATTATCCATGCATTAATAAAGCATTTCCCCGGATACTGTGCGATATTTGAGCGTGTTTTTTAGGGTTGCAACCGATTTCATAGAGACATATAAAAGATACCTACTTTAACTTTAAATGATCCTTTAATAGATGTAATTGATTTCATGATCCATTTAAAGCCTAAAGTTGTATTTAAAGTGTTAATTTTAACCCCTATTTTTTAGGTATGTGGATTAACGGAAAGTATCTTCTATAGTTAGATTAGATTTTTTATTTAAGTTATATTCTATAGAACAGTATCATTACTCAAACGAACGGAGAATTCTGGGAGGAATGTGTCTCCCTTTGTCGATGCAGGGTCCCTCTATGCGCTGGGAAATTTCTTTTCAGAGCGTCGCGATGCAACATATATTATGTAAGTCCTTTCATGTATACGAGCATTCTTAGTATCTAAATGTTTTCTGACATGGTACGAAGAAAAATAATGCGACTAGATGAAAGTCTGGGATCGGGCATTGGCATTGCGTTTTTAGTTTATTAAACTCGTTCGGTTTTTTTGTACTGCGAAAATTTGGCTCCGGTTTAAAAAATCGATGGTATAAACGCCGCTGTGCGAGCTTATACGGAATAATGCAAATATTTCTCCTTTATCCGACAAAGCGACGAACTAATAACAACACTTAATAATGTTAATCATTTCGAGTAATAAACCGTCTAAATTGCTAAAGTTGCCTCGTTGCGCGAAACATGATGTGTTTGTGGAAATAGGCTCGGCCCCGTTTACCATGCAAAATACTCCCGAACTCGCGTTTCGCATACGTATTACGTCGCCCTAAAAATAATTAGAGCCACTGTATTAATTCGCTATACCGGCGGCGCTTTATTAATTATTGACGGATCGCTGCGAATTAATTAGATATACATTTCGCGTTATCTTTTTTCACCAATTAAGTTTACACATTGAAAAACCTTTTACGGTCGTAAATACCTACATACATATATTCGAATTAAATTGAATAATATTCGAAAATATATTCTTGTATTAATCTATATTATTTCGCAATGTGAATTCAGGTATTAGGAGTTGGTAAGTAATGTTACATTCTCAATGAGCCAAATTTATCCATCATTGTTCGGTAAAGAAGTTTGAAAAATTGTCTAACACATCACAAGAAATGTAAGGCCTGAAATTGAATCGTAAGAACTATTAAAGAAAACTATTTATAGTCTAATTTCTAATTATTTTTATATTTTTTTAAATCAAGCGACATTTATACGACCTTGTTGATAGAAAAAAAATAATATAGGGAATTAAATCTTTCACTGCACTATAATTTATATTAAACTGATTAATCATACCACTTGTTACGCATACTAATTACTATTTCACACGATTTATAAATTTCTCCCACCACGAACCACCGTAATTACGGACAACAGAATAAAACGCATTCAAATAACATTTTGGCCACGTTAAAAATCGGAAATTACGAAACGCTGGTCCGATATTTCAAATATCAAGAAAACTATTAGCGCAATCTGTTACGGGGGATTTAATTTTCGCGGCTCCGTCAGACCGACAGTGATCGAGTTCCCGATGCTCCGGGGGCCCTTTAAACGACTCCGCTACCAAAGCGATCGATTACCGAACGATATTAATAGAAGCTGATAGCTGACAGCACACGTTATAAACCCTAATTATTTCCCGATTGTTCTTTTACAACAAATCAATTTCTATGAATTTGACAGTTTTATTTCTATTGCTTATTTGCTCACAGGATTTTCGAGTGTCCTATAATATTTCGTTAATACCTGGCGAATTTTGTTGTAAGAATAAAAATATGTTGTTTTGGATTTCTAGAAATGACCTTAAATAATAATTATTTCAATTGTTGTTATTGTAGGTGCAACAATGGAATTATTTTCAAACTATGTATAATTAACAATCTCACCCGCTAAATATCCTTGATACCCTTTCTCGTAGCGCGACATTTCTTGGCTATTTAGAACCTTTACTTTTCATTTGCGTGGAGCAACGGAAAACGGAAGGTGCTCCGGCCTAGCTGCGAGTTCAGTGTGGTGGAATTTTTCCTAAAGTGCTATCGTTATTAATACAAATCGGTTACGGTGAGTAGTGGGCTGGTAATTGTTTTAGAGGGATTTTTTTTCGTATTGCCTATGCTATATTTAATTTGAAATGTAAGTTGAAACAATGTTGGAGGTCTTTAAGAGAGGATTTGAAATTTAAATGCGCCTCTCACTCGTCAATTTACCCACTTTACTATCCTTCTGCAGTAAAATTTCTAAAATGATTCACTTATCAAATGTGTTGTACTGGAAAGAGGTGGATAAAATAAACAGCAAAAAGCGTAATTTATACAATTTCTTTTAGCAACTTTAATAACTTTCTGTAAGTTTAACTATTTTAATTTTTTTAATGTTTCTCCTAACAAAGTTCGTGCATATACCTTCAACAAACTGCCTTTTACTCGAGCCTTCCCAGCGTTTTCAATAGATAGTAAATTTCATTAAACGGTTTCGTGTTTCACCAACGGAAACGATGGGATCGAGCTTGTAAATTTTCTAATTTTTTCTTTACCATTCTTCTGAACAATTGTTATGAAACATATCGAATGACCTATCAGACTAAAGGCGTGGTTTCACTCTAAACCATTGCGCAACTGATACTGATATACATAATGTATGGTTGTATGGTCAAGTAAATAAAAATGAAGGTGTTCATGTTTTATGCAATTTAAAGTATTTGAGTTTGTCTGTTGCGTTCAAGTAGGTATAATAAATATTGGTACTTTTTTCTTTTTTAGATTGATTACATGAAGTAGAAATGAAACGATTACTTTTTATGGTAGCACTGATTGCTTGCGTAATAGATGCTCACAGTTTGGAGCTAGTCAATCAATGGGGCTTCCTGAATTTCGATTTCCCTCCAAATTTCGATCTGAAATTCTTCAGGTTTGTGTCTATAACGTTTAAGAGTAATCATAATTTGCTATTAAATTGTATTTTAGACCTGAAAATTCAGTTTTAACTGGTATGGAAATAACAGATGATCGAATATTCCTGGCGATGCCTAGACTTAGGTCGGGCGTGCCAGCTGTACTTTCCACTATTCCCCGGAACACTCCGGGAGGATCCAGCCCAATTTTACAGGCGTATCCAGATTGGTCAATGCACGGAGCAGCTACTGGAAACTACAATTGCTCCGGACTAATATCGGTTTATAGAATCCGAACGGATTCCTGCAACAGGTTATGGGTAAGTTCTGGTGAAAACTACCTATTTTAGGTCACAAACCGGCTTTTCCAGGTGCTCGATTCAGGTACAGTGAACACCCTCGAAGATTTCACCGTCGTTTGTCCCCCAAAACTCCTCATTTTCGACATCAAAACCGACCAAATCGTCCGCACCGTAGTGTTCCCCAAAGAAGTTGTACGACCAGTCTCAGTTTTCACCAATCTCATTATAGACGAGAGTTTACAAGGGAAATGCGACTCGGCTTTCGTCTATATCAGCGACACTGTGGCGGGAGGTAAGCAATTAAAAATAGCTGAAACAATTTGTGTAAATTCTTCATAAATTCTGCAGGAATAGTCGTTTACGACGGCGCCACGGACAGAACGTGGAGATTCTCCGATCCATCGATGTTTCCCAATCCGGACCACGCTACTATTAGCATCGTAGGCGAGAGGTTCACGCTAATGGACGGTGTAATAGGATTAGCGCACTCGCCGCAACTAGCGACGTTGTTTTATCAACCTGTGGCCTCCGACAGGTAAGGAAATGGGTCTCATTGTCACCGGGAATAATATTATCTGCGTTGCAGGATATTCAGCGTGCCGACGTCGGCCCTTACTAAGGGCCCACCGGCGGAATTCGAGGAGTTTCCCGTAAGGGTGGCCGGTAGAAAATCATCGCAGGGACTTCCTTTGGCCATGAACGAGCGGGAGAATGTGCTGTATTTCAGCCCTTTCAGCGAGACCTCGTTGGCTTCGTGGAATGTGCTCACCAACGAGCAGGAGTAAGGGTTTTTTTGAGAGTTATTGCTCTTTTGTAAAGGTAATTTTTGCAGGATTTTGGCGTCGGATCCGTCGGTTCTTCAATTCGTCGCGGAAATACGGTGGAAATCAGAAGATGGTAGCGTGTACTTGCTGGTGACGCGCTTTCACAAGTTTTTCAGAAGGACCGTTTCGCAAAATGAAGTAAATTTGAGGATACTCAGGTTACCAGCTAAGCGAGAGTTGCCAAAGAATTTCGATCATTATACGAGTGTAACCTCATCGCCGGTTTTCCCTAGGTTAAATCACAATTTTTATTTCAAATAATGTAACGTGTTATATTAGTATTTTGGAAAATTAAATACATGTAGGTACTCTTTGGATTGAATAACTTTGTTAATTTTCAAACGCAAAAATCGATTAAGTTTCCCGAGTGAACGAAATATGCCCATTCCCAACAGGAGCTACATGTTCGTAACGAGTGTTTTACGTATACAAATTTTAAATTTACTATGCTGTAAATCATAAAAGGTTTGTATTAAAATGAAGCATCTACCAAGTTATATACGTACCTAAACATATAAAAGCACTTGTTTACTTAAAATTGTAATTACTCTACTTTCAAAACAAAAGTTTATTTATTTATTATAATGTTCTATATTATTGTAGACTATTTTTACTCCGAATTTATTATTTAAATAACTCGCTATTGTATTACTCGCTTTGAATCGATAAACATATTCTATGATTCTATCATAAATTATAGAAGAAATCATATTTCAATGTTTCTAACCGGATTTCTGTATTATTATTTCACGTATTATTTATATTTAACGAAGACCATCTCGAAGAAGGCTTCCCACAAGTTTTGCTGACAGATTGATATTATAGGCGAGCACAAAAAATTATTCTATTACAGTCTATAACGTTAAATTCACGTCTCGGACCGCTTTATTTTATTCAATTTTTCTTCAGCAGTAACACAATAATCCAACTCGTTCTTCTTTTACGCCGAAACTCATAATAAATATTCCATTTCCACAAGCTAAACTGGAGGAAAACCACTTCGGAGGCCGTTAAAACGACGAAGAAAAAACATTTTCTTTTACTACCTTGATTTCGTGAATTGCCTTGAAAAAATTCACCAGCGGCGCCCTTTGAGATATTTAATATTTTTTTCAATCGCGTCTATTATGTAGCAACTTTATTTTGTGGTTAAAGTATAAGATAAGTGTATTGCAAAGATTTCGTTTGGTTTTTTTTCTGAAAATCTATATTCTTTAAACGGAAGAATCCAATTTTTATGTCATTCTCTCCGAATAAAATCTAATTGAAGAACGCCCGTGCAAGCACAAAGAAAATGTTCGCGCCGCAGAACAAAATAGGATATTCGTTGTCAAGTTTCATTAGGATACAAGTGTTTTTATCTGTGCCCGGAGCTGAAGAAGTTATGAAGAGATAATTTGAAAATTTCCAAGTAAACGGCCGAAATGGGATATTTATAAACCCCACAAAAAACTCTATAAAATACACAAATTTCTTCTGCCTCGCCGCGCATAGGATATTCAACCCGATTTCGGACTATACCTACTATTTTCGCCTTATTTTTAAAACGCTTTGAATATTTTTTGTTACATTGAAGCGATGTTAATCCGTAATCCGTAACTAACTATGTATATACGTATTTTTCGAGCGAAAAGTTAATATAACGTTTGGTATCAAAAGAAAAACTGATTTTAAATCCCTTTGATCGTAATTGCTTATAATACCGGCTTTATTATTTGTTAAAGCGTTCATCACTCGCCTTTTTTCAGATAGGTACTTTTTTCCAAGTTAGGTGTAGGTAATAAGCCTCTTGGTAAAGCTCATTGAAAATACATAGTTAGCGAAACTAATGATGCAAATAAAAATCGAATCCACTTTGTTTGGAGAAGTTCCCGGTAATAGATAATAAACATAGGAATAGTTGAGCGGGGGACATTCAGATTAATTATGGAGCAGAATGCATTATGCATGGTGCACATGCACAAATTCGCCGGTGACGTTACGATGCAGGCGATCTGTTATACGCGCTTCCCTCTGTTGATCTTGGCAGGACCAGATCCTGGGCCACTTGCGATGCCTGAAATTTATGCGCTTGTTTGACCCACATAAGTCCATTCGAATTTGCATAGTTAAGGGAATGCGAAATTGCCCGTTCTTTATGTATTTAAATTAATCCCCCGATGTTTCGAGCGCAGGTAATTTTTACTACAACAATAAGATTCCTCTAAAAGCTAATTATAAACGTCTCGTATCTGTTTTGGGGGAATTAGGGGCCGCCTTTCCAATTTAATAAACGTCGGAAAGAGTCTTAAATTTTAATAAAGGCACGGTCGACGGATTGATTACTCCGTTTCCCGTTATCGTTGAAAAGTTTTGTCAAGCAGAGTGTGTTATTAACGACTTTTGTTCGAGCACAAACGGGCCACGTTCATCAAACGACTGATGACGTCCTCGGAGAAATCCGTCCCTCTCGGTCAAAAATTGGGGGATTTCGCGAAATTGGCGGAGTTGGCTTTATAAATATTTTTTTTTCTGGTACATTTGCGTCCCGGAATACTTAATATTCAGGTGGTGACATGTTTTCCTTGCGAAATACACGCGCGAATTCGAGTCGAAAAGGTCTAGGCAAAAACGGCGAATTATTCTTTCGCGTTTGAAAATGTCGAAACGGGGCGCAAGATCGCCGGAGGCTCCTTGTTAGTATTCCGTCGAAGGGCCGCCCTACTCGCGTTTGTTTGCGCTCGTCGGCCCTTCAGAAGGATCATAATACGAGCCCTAGGACTTCGGAAGGACCGCTCCCGACTTATTTGAATTTTTGTTTGTTTTTCTTCGATGCTCCTGATGCTCCATAAAGTAAGGGAACGATTAGGATTGTTGCCGAAATCAAAGATATTAGAAATTATATTGATACCTATACCCTTCAATTAAAATATTCCATTTATTTATCTAACAGACTACGCATATAGATACTATTTGATCGATTCCAGCCGAATTATTGCTTATCTTTATTCTACACCTACAGATCGGAATAGTTCTGGTACTAATGGTTGGCAAGCCATCATAATTTATCGTATGAAATCTTGTCGATGAGCCTCATTACCGCATTCTACTACTTCAGTTAGTTGTTACCCGGTTATATTAGCATCTATACGGCGCTCACTCGACCGTGCAGTTACGATTATGTTGCAACAAAGACCTTTTAACGGTGAAATGGCAGGTATTTGTTGGTTTAATAACCAACAAAAAGAAACAGACAACAAATACCAACCAACAGACCAACAAATAGAAAAGAAATGCTGGGTGTTTATTGTTTTAAAGAGATTTGTTACAATGTCATTCAAAATTAATTGAAATTTTGTCAGGTTAAAAACGGCACAGTGGAATTTATACGTGAATTTAATTTTTATTCATAATGAGGTAAAAGTGGCTAATTTGCAGTGGGAAATTAAAATAACAATATTTGAATAAAAAGTTGGCTGTGGCGCCATGTTGCGGGCGGAAGCCTGTAATTCAAATCAACCAATCACAGCTTCCTCTTCGTGTTGTTACAGAACGTACGTTTCAGAATCATAGAGGGTGACATTTTGACATATCGCAATTGACGTTTCGTGATAGGTCAGTGCATTTCGGCTTTTTTGTAATGATAACTCAGAGTAAATGAAGATAAAGTATAATTTTCTGTCCTTACGATAATTAATGCAATAATAACGTCCAAAATATATGGTTGACGTATACATCTGTCAATATTCACGATGACATGGCCCTTTATTCTTGAGGCATTCATACCAATTTTATACATTGTGTTGTTAGTGAATAACTAGCATATAAAAAGACCAATCTACTATTTAAGAAAACATATAATTTTAATTCCTTATTAACAGTTTTATTCGTAATTAAATCTCCTTTTACCGTCGAATCTGAACCCATAAGCGGCGGCGTTTTTGGCATTCACCAATGCGGGGTTCCGGTGCTTGTAGAAGGTGCCGTGCGAATGGGCGGCTCTGGACGATCCGGTCTCCTCGTCTTTCAGATAGAACGCCTCGAAGGTGCCTTTGGAAGGCAGCAGGGTCTTCAAATTCGCATCCTGCGGATCGTAGCACTCCGATAATAAAACCAGCAACGACGCCACGACGCCGATGCCTGTTAGTCGGCCACGCATGTTTCGCGTTTGAATGGAAGCGAATTAATTTACGCCTTGGGCTTCCGAACTACTTTCACTTTTTTAGTTTTCATAATATAAGAGGCTGTTTAATTCAAATATTCGAGATATTGTACTTATTGCAAGAAGCAGGGTTCTTGCAAAATTCAGTAATTGTTAATTTCAATGTTGATTAATAGATGGTGCTACCAGTTCTGTATAACACAGAACATACAGTCTGAAGTTTACGTCTGTTCTGTGAACTTTAGTTCTGTGGTATGACAAACCCAGAATCATTCCTAACTTCACTCAGGTGATATTTATTATGTAATAAATATATTAAAAACAAAAAAAAATAGGCTAGTACTGTAATGTAATCAACTGTAAATGAAGATAATTTTTAACAAAACTGGACAAACTCTTAATTGGTAAGTAACTGCATACACATTTAGTTATAAGTTTTGAGAAGATAGAAGAAATTTTATAAACGTCACTTTTGACATAATTGTCATCTTATCTTATTGAAATTTGTTTATTTTGAAGTTTTGAACTATAAAATACAGCATTAAAACTCCAAATATGGGTAAATACTGTTTAATTTGGATGATATGTAATATTTATTACTCTATTTTGTAGACCCGAACGAGGCCAGGAAGCAACTGGAAGCGTGCGTGAGCGAAGAAGTGATGAAAGAGTACAAGGCTCATCTCCGCAAGTGGCTCCTGTTCAGTTCGCCGATAACCAAAGAAATGTTCGATAGTCAAGTCAGAAAGCTTTTGTCGACCGACGAACAGATTAGATGCCACAACAATTACCTGCTTTCTATTCTAGCCAAGTGCAGGAGGAGTAGTAAAACGAAGGGTTTGAAAGTATCGAGCGAGACTGGCGGGTTCGAGTACGCCGAGTATTACGATTACATTCAAGATGCCCCGACGGCCCCGAGTGACCTGAAAGACCGCAGTGCTGCATCTGAGCTTTTCATTCCGGACAGCGGTTTTGTAGCTTGTAAAATATCCGTGATAGCCTGGGAGAACGGTATGCAAGGAGCCAGCGATAAAGTAACCGAGTTGATAGTACACGCTTGCCAAGTCTTCATAAAAAATATTATAACTGCGATGATATCGAGGAAGAAGGGTTACAAAGTGAGGGACAAAAAGTTGCAATTTGGATTCAATCTACCTGTTCCGGATCCTTTCATTAGAAATTCCAATAATCTAATCGATGATTCGCTCGAATCGAAAGTGGATATCTATGATGAGGATACATTTCAACCGAAATTGAAACCTTCTTTGGATATTGCAGAACAGAAAGTCGCCTTTGCGTATTCTTGCGCGAGGAAAACACATTGTGATAATTCGTTGACAGTAAAACTTTTATACGAGACAATTAGAGACAATCCGAAGGTTTTAGGTTTACATTCTATGAGTAGCACTAGTTTATTTAAATTAAGTTTATTAATAAATGATGATATGGATAGTGATTAGAGAGATTTATCAATTTGTTTATAAATCAATTTTTTAAGATTAAAAACTGTTGTTTAATGTTCTTGTTTGTTTATGAATCAAACTGATAAAAATCTTTATTTTACTACATAGTTTTTAATATTATTACCGCAGTTTGATATTAGAAAAACCATGAAATTGTATCAACAATTTTATGTAGTAATAAAATTTACCTTTTTACATATCATATTTTTGCGAACGATGCGATGGCAACAAAATATTTATTCTATAAGCACTAGATTTAATAATTTTATAATTTATTACCGTACAATTATTTTTTTATAAGTTAATAAAAGAGAAATTTTTTCATGCATATTTAAATTCGATTTTTTGTTTATAGAATCCAATTAATCGCCAAGCAGAAAGCGTTAAAAACGAGTTTTCCCTTTCCGCATTCGAATTTACATACTTTATAATTATCGAATATTAACCTCTTGCTAAATTATTGATAATATAATTCATCTGGTGTTCTAATAATACTCTATAAGCATTTCAAACGATTCAAAACTGATTATTAAATGTAAAAGTTATATCACCATGATAATTTAAGAACAAATTTTCATTTTGAAACAAATAGACTGAATTATTTTAACGATATGAAAACGTCGTCCACTAACAGACGCGTTAAAAGATTTGAATATTGAACTTTATAACTATTAATTGCTATATACTTAATTTTTTGTATAAGACTATTAAAAACATGAGGTACCTACCTAACATGTATACACCAAATTTAGAATATATTAAGCCTAGATAAAAATTACTAATGGTCAAGGTGAGACAGCCGCCACAACGATTAAAGGAGCTCAAACTTCCAAGTTTCTTGAGTATCCATTAGAAATGTATAAACGGGGAAATCATCGGCACGCTCCGGAATAAAAGAAATGCTCTAATAACACTCGCCGAAGCCAAACATGCGTTAAACTTCTAATTAATATTTCCATAACTGTCCGGTGATTTTGAAGAATCCGTAAACGTGGTGTGAAGCTCATTAATGGGAATAGTTGGAGTGGAATGTGCGGATTAAGTTGCACGTTGCATTTGTTCATTAGTTGCGTTTCGCGAACGCTGGTAACCCGTTTGCAGGTAGAGTACATTTGGTGCGAATATTCCGTGGTATAAATAGTATTATCGAGTGATGTTTAAAATATTTTGGATTATATTAATCTTAGGTAAGTCGAAGGTTCGTAGAGATTTTTCTTAGATTTTATGTAGGAGTTTTAAATATGCACGTAAAATGATAAAGGGTTTTTATTTAAGTTTAGCGATGCAATAAAGTTTTTTATTTGTTGTAGTTATTTTTTTCAATAAATTTTTCAAAGAATTTTCAATAAGCTTGATGTTAATTAAAAATTGTTTGGGAATATTTTTTTCAATGATTTATCAGGTATTACACACTCCTATTGTACTCTACAGTAAACTAAAAAAATCGTAACTTTCATAAATCTTAACATTTATTTTCATTAATAACTGTTTCTTCATGCATCTTAATAACAAAATAAAAACGGAAATATATCTATAACAACGAATCGTCAATTTTATCTATTAAAAATATGTATAAGTATTAAAAAAACCGATAATCTAATCAATTAGATCAAGCATATAAGTAACAAGTCACAACAATAATTTTTACTGAGATGTAATCAGTTGAACGTCTGTACGTGTTTTTAAAAAAATCACGCCACTGCAGGTTTCGTAAAAATGAACAACACCGAAGGTAAAGTGTACATAATACGATTTTATTGAATTTTTTATGAATCTTGAAAAATTAATTAGCTACACTCAAGTAAAATTCAAACCTGAATAACACGCTAGAACTTTGTAATTATCTAACTAGTAAATACACGAAAAAAAACTCGAACCATTATACCTATTTATAAATTTATTTTGTAACACAATCCTCTAATTTAAACATTGTAGTTTGACGAACTAGGGATTTTATTGAATTTTAATCGGAAATTTCTTTAAAACCTTTTTTATTCCCGCTTCCTATTCCTTTCAGAAAACATACCGATGGAGACTGCAGGAGACAATAGCAAGGAAATCGAATACCGCAGTTATAAATTTTCCATCGGTTTTCATCTGCTGCTGCCTGCAGTCGGCTTAGGAGTGCTCATTTTGGGTCGCAGGCACATTTGCGATAAGCTCTTGTTGCAATTAGATAGCAAATACTTGACAGGTAAGCCGGTGAAATATTTGTGATTTACAACAAGATCCTCCTATCTAATTAAGTAATACTATGCCCCGTAAGTTTCCCGAATGTATCGACTGTTGAAAAAATTAACCAAAACCACTTATAAATGTTTACTTCTCATTATTAATGCGACAATTATTTCGGATAGTAATTATACATGTCGTTTTAATGCTAAAGATAAAACTTGTCATTTAACATAAAAACGTTTTATGCGATTTGAAATAAAAATGTTTATTATGTGACGACCTTGATGTGCAAGTTTATATTTTTATTTTCTACTAAAAAAACTTTCTCCGTAAATTTAATTATTAAGTAGATACTAAATTGCTTTCGTTACATCCAATTAATCGCCTATAGTTCTATCGGTGCTCCGCTTTTCATTTCTCTTGTATAAATTATATCATATGCCCACAATAAAACCCGATTTCAGATTAAAAACAGATTAATTTAATCAATTTCGATTTATTTTATCTTTAATGCGCACTCGCAATTCCTTGCGCACTTTATGCACTTTACGACAAAAAATCGCAATTAAATTATATTTTTTATTTACCTATTGCATGTTTCTACACAATCAATTCAAAAAACCAATGGATTACATTAAATTAACTCGTTAATTACAGTACTATGTCCGTGCTTCATCAAAAGGGAGAACATAGTAAAATGGGCTTGCAACAGATTACCGCGCACCTGGTCCTCGAACACCGTAGAAACATTATCAGGAGGCGTAAAAGAATTATGGAACGATGGTTCCCTGCTTTGCACTCTTATAAACTCAGCCAGACCGGGAGCTTGCCCCAATCCCCACAGACATTGGAAACAACCCCCTTCGCACGCCCAAGCTTTAGCGTACAAATACTTCGGAGTAACACCGGTATGAATTACTTGCATCTAAAGCTATTAGAGTATTAACGAAGGTTTTTAAGGTGTTTTCCAACGAGGAATTGAATCGCAACATCAACTCTAGTTTAGAGAGGAAGTTCATCGGGTACCTCAGCGACGTGCAGCAATCGATAAACAAAATATCGGAAATATCCGAGGAAAACAGCCGGTTTTCCTCGCAATATATAGTGAGAGGAATGGGGTTGTTTTCCGGCGAGCAGCACAAGAAAACCACCTTCTACATTTACCTAAACGACCGTTGCGACAACGACGACACCAAAGAAGACAACATAATCATCCACGTTAAAGGTAACAGCCTTTAAGTTAGTTATTTATCTATTAAATTGGAGTTTTCAGGTCCGTTTGGAACTTACGGGGAAGCGGTGGCGCCTAAATTGGTGAACAAACGGAGGAAACTCAAACGAAAAACGAAGCAAGAAAGGCGATCCTCCATCCAATTCATCGAGAATCTGATGCAATCGAACGCTTGGAATTTCACCCGAGCGCAGAGGAAAAATATCAACGAAGGCGTGGAAATCGAAACCGCCATGGAAAACGATAGAATCAGAGTGAGTTACGTGCCGACTAACTACGGAATGTACGAGATCAGCATGATCTCCGGCGGTGAATTGCTGAAAGGATGTCCGTTTAACGTGCACATTTTTATCAACGAATTGAACGATGTTAATCAGAGCGATAAAGTGGTTAGTAAAGCGAGGAAAGTGATCAAAACGCACCTGCCCAGGTTGCCGGAAAACGACGAAGCCAAGTTGAAACCCGAGGGAAAGTCTAGATTTAATTTCAGAGAAGTTGTAGAAGAAATTACTAAAAACGGTAGCGTTTACAGAAGCATACTAGGACACACGCCTGAAGTCGAAATGTCCAGTCTGGAAATATCGGCTAGTATAAATAAAGAATCAAAAGATAGTAAGAATACGCATAGAGATGAAACGGATTATTTCGATAGCATAGAGAAAGTTGAAACCAATTCAAAATATGGAGATAAATTAAGCGAAAATGAAGCACTTTCACAGGAAAAATCTGAAACTAACAACATTAAACTTCCTGAAAATTCTCCTGTTGATAATAATAACATTACAAAACTATCAACAAGTGCCTTAAATATTAAAAATGCTCCAGCAAAACCAATAGACTTGGGACAAACTGATGAAAACAAAGCAATAAGTAAAGACGATTTAAATAACTACAACAATCTTCGAACCAACGAAAATAACCAGAAAAAAGACGAAATATACGATAGTAATAACTTAAGACGTCCTTCGAGCGATAAAAATATAATTATAAACGAGTTTTCCAACAAACAAAATTCGAAGAAAGCTTCACTAGAACTCACCAGTTCCGCTTACGTTCAATCCGAACCCGAAGAAAAATTATCCAACGCCTCTTTAAAAGTACAAATTATTAACAATTACTCCAGCAGTAAAAATCAGCAAACAGTCGCTAATAAAGACGATAATAATCAACATACCAAAGCAAACAATCTAACCACTGCAACATTTGCGAATAAAAATTTAATTAACAGTGGAATAGAAACCAAACACAGCAGTTACGTGTTCGAGCCGAAATATATAAACAAACCGAAGATAAACAAAATTAAAATTCCCGAATTGTTTGCCGAGGACGCAATAAAGAAGCGACCTTATCACTGGGACGATAAGTATTTCAAAAATATCCTTAACGAATCCAATAAGGACTATTCCAGTTTGGATTACGAGAAGAAAATTTCCGCCGAATTCGAGAAGAAAAGGTCCAAGTTTACTTCCCCAACATGCCCTGGTCATATTGTAACCGAAGTAGATGCAATACAGAAAACTGTAGCCGAAAAGAGAAAGGTAATTATTATAAATTAGGTAGGTAACTAAATCATTCGAATAAATATGGTATTTTTTAGATTTTTGCTCAACGTACGCCAAGAAAATTGTACTCGTACGGTTCCAATTCGCTGATTTCTTCGTTTTCCGATGAAAACGAACAAAAATCCACAGCCGAATTGAACGTTCTGAACGAGATCCACGCCTACGAAAATTATTCCTTAACCAACACAATCAGCTTGCCGAATTTATCGTTAGAGACCGATTGCTCGTTGGTTTCTTTCGAAAGCAGAAAATCCTTCTGGGAGAGCATGTCAACCGGCAGCTCCACCTCGGTCAGCACCAAGTCATTATCTCCCAGAAAACCGGAGAATTCCTTAAACTCTTTGGAAAGAAGCAAACTCATTTGGAAGAAACCCCAAGACATCTACAAATCTGCTGATGATGTACTGTCTTTAACGAGCACCAAAGAGCATAAGATTATGTACAATTCTGTGGAAGATTCTTTAGATAAGTGCGCGGTAATGTCAGTAGAGGAGAGGAAAAGAAAATTGCTCGAACGAAAATTCGAAGAGGAAAAATTTATTTCGAGAAAAGTTGTAAGCAAAGTTAATTATAACGAAGGCACGGTTTTCGTAACGCCTATTACAGAAAAAATTCAGAGATACAAAAGTGGTGAGTATATAATGTTTTTGATTTAGAGCAAGGCGTTTTATTAAATATATTTGCAGCCCTGGAATTATCTTCTTTCGAGGAAACCAAAGAAACCCAGTCCTCAAAACCAAAAAACCAGGATACAAAAAGCAGCTCGCAATTCAAAAACGCCATCAACTACTTCAAAAATCTGGAGACGCAATCTCGAGCGGCCGAAAGACCGGCCATCCAAAAATCCCGCCGTCGCACGGGAGGTAGCCTCAACCTCCCCAAGGTGTCCCAAAAGTTCTTCATCGACAACCTGTACAGGGACGTCTTCGGCAACGAGAAGAGCCACTTCAAGGGAACCCCCAACAAGTCAGCGCTGGTCGAGGCGCTGGCCACTTTCTCCAGGACGCCGACGCCCTACCGTCGCGACGACGAGGACGACATCCAGTACGAGATCTTTAAGAGCTTCGTTAATAAGAGGAAGAGGAAAAGTTTGAAAGCTTTATTCGATATTCATTATTAATTTATTGTAGTTTATTTATTATACGGTTATGCAAAACTGTAGTTTTTTTAGATGTTTTTACAGGTCGATACATATAGCTAAAGACACCAAAGGCTCACTATGATCCTGTGACTTTAATATCAAATTGCTGCAATAATAAAAGTTATTATTATTAATGGAGGTTTGCGCGTCTCAGGTCTCTTGCTATTTATACCGAACTGTACACGAATTTATACATAGCCGCTTATCGAATAACGATGATAAGACTATCCAAATGAAGCCTTTTAACATGGATGAAATGAAACGTTAAAAATCGGTGAGACATTCGAGTCACATCGGTGAAAGTCTAAACACAGTTGACACAATATAGCTTCCATCTCCAACAATTGGTCTCCATTAGAACAATGAGTTAGAGCGGATCGTTAGATACAAGGACTTAGGAATAGTGAATTGTTCGATTGGAGTGTTACAGTGCAATAAAATATTCAAGGCTGATTTAGTTGTTTGTAAATAGTACCACATTAGATAGTAAACGTGTGTTGTCGTAAAATTTATTATTATTTACAAGAATATGGTGGGTTGTAAACCTGTATCATTCCATATATTCGGTGAGTACATACACAATTTTTGCTAATTAATGATGCATACATTTTTGTAGAAAAAACAAACAGCGGAGACGTAATATCATGGACTTACCCGACGGTAACCGATGAAACAAAAATTTTAATCCATCAGACTTGTTTTTCGAAAGGATTGGAAACGGTCGATTTGTTCTATTATAAGCGCGAAAAAAAATACTGGCACTACATAAAGCAATTCGGGAAAAATGGGAGAAGATGCGCCGTGATTGTTCTGTCGGAATGCTACAAGCCGGATTTGTACGGGAAAATATGCGATTTGTTCGTCGGAAAATGCACCGGCGTTGCAGAGGTGGATTTCGTGGTGCTTGTAAAAACGTTTTTGAAAATTTACGTTAGCGATGGGATTAGTTCGGGAGGTGAATTCGTTAAATTAGAGGATTTTCCGGAACAAACTAATTTGAAAGGTTTACAACAAATCGGGGTTTTTTATTGTATATCTAATAATCGTAGTAATTTTTTGTAGACATAATTAAAAATTTAGGTATCGAGTTCATTTTGCTTTACAATGCGTTGCTATTGAAGAAGCAAATTTTGGTATACCATCCCAATGTAGAAGAATTACAACAGGTAGAATTATTTTACTTTTTTCTCAAAAACGAAATATTAAACATGAATTCTTTTAGAGTTTAAACTCAATAACCAGATTAATTCCAACGCAACAGCCTGAAGATATTTTAGAACCGTACGTTCAAAATATATCAGATCTAAAACGTGTAAGCAACTAATTTGTAATTAATTTTAACTATTTATAATTGGTGCTAATTTATTTGTAGAATGTAAATAACTTGTTAGGTACAACGAATTCTAGTCTAATGAACCAACAAAATTCCTTCGATCTACTGGTCAATTTACAAACCCCTTCAGTAGAAGTAACTCTAAAATCCAAAGGTAAGATAAATATATTAACTTCGAATAATTTCACATATTCTACGTATTTCAGAATCTTTCCAACTGACCTCCCTCCACAAGGACATAGCAAATTCCATTACTCAACTGGTCGAAAAAGACGCCACAGAATTGGAAATAATCAATGAAATATCTAACAAAACTACAGAGGTGCTAAATTATTTGAAAACATTCCAATCCCAAAAAGATGTAGAAGGTAAAATAAAAAACAAGAACTTGCAGAAATTTCTTACCAATTTATCTACGATTGTCTAAATAAAAATAATTTTAATCCAAGTTGTTTTTATCCATTCAAATGGGTGAGTTTAAACGAATCCGGATAATCCCCAATTCTACGAAAAACAATATTACTAACAATCCTATTTAAGTACCTATGTGGTTATTACTTTGCAATGTTACGAGTCCTTGCGCTTGGTGCTTCATCCAAACCATTAATCGCCTCGACATCTTCGTAGGATAAATCGAATTTGAAGATTTTACTGTTCCTCTGTATCATCGTGGAATTGAGAGTTGCTGGTAGAACCACCACATGCATTTGGTGCAGCCATCTTAAAACCACTTGGCTCGTTGTCTTCCTGCGTCCTTTTGCTATATTTATAATAACTGGATCCGAATCAATCGCTCCAACAGGACCTAAAGGATTGTAACTGATTACCAGAATGTTCCTCCTTTTGCAAAATAAACGCAGCTCCCATTGCTGGTTGTAAGGATGGACTTTCACGTGCAAACTGGCCGGTTTGATTTTAGCTATTTTCAAGATGGACTGAATTTGTTCTTTGGTGAAGTCATTCAAGCCAATGGATCTCGTCCGTTTGGATTCTACTTGCTGTTCCATTTTCTTTAACACATAACAGTTAAATAAATATTCAACACTGAAGTATTATTGAGTATTATCTTACTTTCCAAGCGTGTATAATGTTAATATCTTCTGTTGCATCCATTTGTAGTACGTATAAATCGACGTGTTTTAGTTGCAAATTGGTAAGAGAATTGTTTAAAGCTTCTTCTATGTGATCAGGATGCGTGTCTAATTTTGTGGTGATGAATAAATCTTTTCTCTTTAATTTCTTCGATGATATCCACTCTCTTATAACTTCTCCTATGATATGTTCGTTCTTATAAAAAGGAGAGGTGTCGATGTGGCGATAGCCGACTTCCAGTGCTCTATTTAGAGCTGTTTTTAATTGATATTCGTCGTTCTAAAACCGACGAGAAGTTGGTGAAAAAGTCGTGAAGAGCAGCTTTCTTACCGTATGCGCTCCGAACCCCATGGATGGTACAAAAACGTTGTTCCCAAGAGGTTGGTAGGTGTTACTCACATTGGTACCTCTGATGGTGGTTAGAGAAAATACGAAAGACACCAAATTCATAATTTTTGCTTAGATCATTCTCTGATATGCGGAGTTTTGTGCGGATTTGTGGAAATTTAGAAGCACGAAATGCTAATATCGCATACCAGAGTTGGGCTCCAAATGTTTGGATTTAGTTGAAATATTTCTTGCTACATTTTGTAAGTTATATGGATAAGTTCAAATTTGTTTGCAATATGGTCAATAATTGTAGGATTTAAACAACGAAAGATTATTAAAATAACAGTGAGAAAGTTGCAATCAACTCACAAAATCACTCTTTCTTTTTTTCTTATAGCTGTCTTTGTCTGCACCCCATAGAGACCATATCTTGCGTACAAATTTGCACTTAGCTGTATAAGGCGTTATTGAGGCGCATTTTAATTATTTTATAAGTTTCCCAATATTATTTTAAAGCCAATTCTGGACTAATAAATACTCGACAATAGATATTTTGAAAAATATCCGTACAATACAGTAGTACAATAGGTGATTAATAATGAACACAAAACAATTAATTTTAATTCAATGCATCGATTAGTGCATTATGTACGACTTAATCGCAATTAATTTACCTTAGTGTCAATTAAATAATTTTTCCACATTGCTAAACAATTCTTGTTCAGTACAACAAATTGGCCCAATAACGTACATATCACAGGCCAATAAATGACATTCAATAAGGAGAGAAGAATAGCAAACGTCAACTCACGGAGCCCTTGAGGTGGCATGGTGGCCGGATGCGGTACTTAGGAGAGTCCACTTATATCAAAGAGATGAGTAGATAAGATATAACCTTATATAACCATCAAATAATCAAGATCAAAACAAACATATTTTAATATTAATCAAATAATGTAATAATGTCCGAGGAAGAACAAATAGAAGAAAAACCGTTTGCGATCGAGCGAGCCAAGCAAGGCCGTGCAGCGTGTAAAAAATGCAAACAGAAGTGCCTTCAAGGGGAACTGAGAATAGCGAAATTGGTGGCCAATCCCTTCGGTGACGGTAAAATGAAATCGTGGCATCACATTAGCTGTTTATTCGAGTCATTTCTAAAGCAACGCAAGACTACTAAACGTATAGACGGTCCAGAAGATATAGATGGTTGGGATAATCTAAACGAAGATGATCGTAACGATATATTAAAGCGTATAGACGAATGCGATAGTTTTTTTAATGTAACTAAGAAACCAAAGAAACCTATTGAGAAACCTGAAAAGAAGAATGTAAGTACAGAAGAACCAAAGAATGTTAATCAACCCGAGAGACATACCCAATTATTTAAAGAATTTAGGAAGCTTGTTGCAGACATTACTAACACAGATAGTTATTTGGAAAAAACAAGCTGCGTAAAAAAAGCCTTCAACAAACTATTCCCAAACGACTCGTACAAAAACGACATAATCTTGTGGAGTAAACTACTGCTACCCGGAGTAATTAAACGGGTTTATAACTTACAAAACAAGCAAATAGTCAAGCTGTTTAGTAGATTATTTATAGCCGATTTAAACGACATGTTAACCCACCTAGAGCAAGGAGATATCGGAGAAACTGTACAAGAGTTTTTCAACACCAGCGTCAGTATTAAACCAGCCAAAAAGAGTATTTTAACAGTCATAGAAGTAGATGAATTTTTAAATGAACTCTCTAAACTTACAAAAGAAGACGAGCAGCTAAACCATTTCAAATTGATAGTTCCGAAATGCACATCGAACGATCTCAAAGCTATCATAAGGTTGATAAAAGGGGATTTGAGAATGGGAGCCGGAGCTAAACATATATTAGAAGGTGTGCATGAGCATGCTTACGATTATTATCAAACATCTAGGGACTTGGATGTTGTGATATCTAAATGCTTCAACAGTGATTCCAATTCTAAGGAAAATAGCATTATTTTACTAACTCCTGTTAGGCCGATGTTAGCGGAATCCTGCAATTCCGTGGAAAAAGCCATGAAAAAATGCCCGAACGGAATGTACTCGGAAATCAAGTACGACGGAGAGAGAGTACAGCTTCACAAACGCGGATCCGACTTCAAGTATTTCTCCAGATCATTGAAGCCGGTGATGCCGCACAAAATCCATCATTTCAAAGAGTACATCCCGAAAGCTTTCCCGCACGCTAACGATATGATTTTAGATTGCGAGATTCTCCTGATGGATACCGTTGCCAGCAAACCTTTACCTTTCGGGTCTCTGGGCAAGCACAAAAAGGCCGAATTCCAAGACGCCACGGTGTGCCTGTTCGTCTTCGACTGCATCTACTTCAACGGCGAAAGCCTAATAGAGAAACCGCTCAGCAAGAGGAAGCGGATCCTTCGAGAAAACATGACGGAGATACCCAACCGCATCATGTTCTCCGAAATGCAGGAAATCTACAAGAAAGAGGATTTAACGAAAATGATAGCGAAAGTCCTAAAAATGGGCCTCGAAGGACTGGTATTGAAGGACATAAAGAGCTTCTACGAGCCCGGTAAGAGACATTGGTTGAAAGTTAAGAAGGATTACCTCTTCGACGGCGCCATGGCGGACAGTGCGGATTTATTAGTACTAGGAGCTTGGTACGGAACCGGCAAAAAGGGTGGAATCATGTCGGTATTTTTAATGGGCTGCTACAATCCGAACAATGACACCTTCTGTACCGTTACCAAAGTACACACGGGCCACGACGATAAAACCTTGGAGCGACTACAAAACGAATTGGACATGATCAAAATCAGCCAGGAACCGAGCAAAGTACCCAAATGGCTGAAGTGCACCAAGACGATGATCCCCGATTTCGTCGCGAGGGACCCCAAAAACCAGCCCGTGTGGGAGGTAACCGGTGCGGAATTCACCCAGCACGACATCCACACCGCGGATGGTATCTCCATTCGCTTTCCTAGAGTCACCAAAATACGCCACGACAAAGACTGGCAAACGGCCACCAATCTCCAAGAACTGAAACTCCTCTATTCGAACTCCAAGGAAAACCCCGACGTGAGTATTTTGCTCAAAGGAATCGAGGATTCCGATCGGCCGAAGAGGAAACATGAAGATAGCGAGGTCGATTCGCCTTCTCCCAAGAAGAAAAAAATTGCAGAAGATTTCGATGAAGAAGAAACCGTTGGGATTTTCTCGGGGATAAAAGCGATTGTAACCGACGAATTGAAATCGAAAAATCCAGACGATTGTATTAGGTAAGTAATAAGTAAACGACAACATTTCGTATTGGATTAAAACGGGTTGTTTACAGCAAATTTATCAAACACGATGGTAGTATTATCGAGGAAGATAATCGCGACGATGCTACGCACGCTCTACATTTTTACAATATAATCCGAGAGCCGGTTTTGTGTTGCCCACACACCGTCAAACATGTATCTTACAATTGGATTATCGATTCCTTAAAAGATGGTGCTTTGAGGGATTATAAAATGTACACTGTACAGTGGAATCCGGACATTTGAATATTTAAAATAGCAATTATGAGGATGCTTCAAGGGTAATTTCTTCGCGAGAAGAGTAATTTTATTGTGAAACTGCAGGTGATATGGAGATGGGGTTAGTATTAGTATTAAGTAACTTTTTAAATTATTTTAATTATACATATTGTTTTATTGCTATTGGTGTTTTATTGCTAAATTGGAATTTATTGCAAACTTTGAAAGAAATTGTAGAAATTGTTTAACTCACACTCTAGAGTATGCTAGAGTAGAAGAAAGTTGAGTCGAGTAGAATAGAGTAGAGTAGGGATAGAAGAATTAGAATTACTTTAGAATTACCTTAGATATATAACTAAAAAAGAGAAGGGAATTCCCATAATTAGTAGGTCTATGGGAATTCTAAGGTAGAATAGAATCAAAGTTGGGTAGGGTGAGGAATTCTAAGGTAGAGAAGAGTAGAGTAGAATCAGGGTAGAGTAAGGTGGGGAATTCTAAAGTATAAATAGAAAAGGGTAGAATCGAAGTAGAGTAGAATGAGAGTAAAGTAGAGTGGGGTGGGGAACTCTTAAGTAATGAAGAACAGAGTAGAGCAGGGCAGGGCATTCTTAAGTAGAGTAGAGTAGAATCAGTGTAATGTAGAGTAGGGTAGGGTAGGGTAGAATCAGAGTAAACTGGAGTATGGTGGATAATTCTAATTTATATAATTATTATATTAAAGGGGAATGAATGTACTAAAATGCACAAATTATTTTTCTGCAAATAAAAACTCTCAATCATCAAAAATTTAACTGTAAGATTAAAAGGACCTTTCATTTTCCGCGAGTAATTTACCTACAAGATTAAAATCTATAATCCCTGTGACGCCCAATTTACCTATAGTTCAAACTTATAATCCCTTTGCGGCGCCCAATTTACCTACAGTTCAAACCTGTAATCCCTTTGGCGCCCAATTTACCTATAAGATTCAAATCTATAATCCCCTAGGCACCCAATTTACCTATAAAATGCGAATCAACACTCCATTTGCCACCCAATTGACCTATAAGATTAAAATCTACAACCTTTTTGCTCCCAATTTACATCTTTCCATGATACCTACCTTGCGAATTCCTAAGTATACAATTCGAGTGCATGTCGCATTGATATCTACTGGATAAGTGTCGTGTACGGCATTCAGTTCACGCATTTATGAACACAGAACAAACGGGCTCGACATGTCAATACGAGCAGCGCGTTTCGAACGAAATCCACTTTCCCGTTTAATGCTGGAAGGATTTAATCCCCTACGGGCCACTCCAACGTCGGCTGACTTCATAAACAACCCTTACTCGGGACTCGTACTCATCGTTGGCGATCAATACTGCATCGATGCAACGGGAGAAACGTCTCCATATAAGGGTAGGAGGATTTTTTCTGGCGAAATTTTCCAATTTTCGAACTGAATCGAATGCAAAAATGCAATATCGCGAAGTGAAACGGGATACAAACAAACCCAATCGGGTACGCCCGGACGAGGAGCGGCTCGCTAATTCGAATTCTCTCACTTTCGCAGCGCTCGCGAAGGCACAATTAAAAGGTGAAACGTGTTGTATTTCTGGGCGATTGGATTTCAAAGATTTCCCGGACGCTCGGCGAGGAAGGGTAAAATTTCCCGGAGCTGCCGCCCTTTGATCTCGCTTTATACCTGTCTGCGGGGTCTACCGTCTGCTGCAGTCGTTTTGTTCCGCGATATTTTATGTTAAACGAATTATTATTCGATGCTGCTAGAGATACGTTCAAAGTGAGTTTATTAAAAAAGAAAATAGTAAATCCGGCCGTTTGTTTGCGTCTGGTAGTTTTGGTTTCTACCAACTCACCCGGTTTAATTCCTTCTTTTGCGCTCTTGCTGAATTGTTGAAACGTCGAAGAAAAAGTGTTATTGTAATTTAATTTAAATATTAAAATTTATATAAACAACCGTAGGGTATTACACGCCGCGAAGTTCTTAATGGAATACAATTATATTCATAACAAAAACCGCCGTTGGTTTGTTTATGTAAGTTCCTTTTTTCGGAAAAATGATGGAAGCTCCCCTTTGTTTTTAACAAAAGAATATTTTAATCTAATCTCCGGGGAATTTTTTTGCTCTTCTCCGCTCCGTCTGTTTTTCCGATAATGACAAATTATCGAATTTATTCAACCAGGATTCTTTCGACGGGAACCATAAAAAACTCTTAAAAATTCCCGCGTTTGTTTTCATTCCATTGAAAGGTATTCACGGCACTTTTATGTACAGCGCGGCCCTAAAAAAATTATAACATAATGTGTGCTTATAGTAAATAATAATCCGTTTGGCCTTTTACGTTTCCGGTTACCGGATTTCAATCATGGATATTTCATTCATAAGATTTCTTGAGAAATGAAATCCGAGCCGGTTGACTCCGGGAGGAGCAAACAGTAACCTGAGCGCGATCCAGGAAACCCGCTTTTTCGATGATCGAACAAAGGGCCCAAGCAGGGTAAAAAGGGAATTTTAAAACCGTTCCTTTCGCTCGCCTAATGCCATTTACTCGATATTACAACAGCACTTATATTCACAAACAAACTTAATGCATTTCACGTTGCTATCCGAACCTCAAAAGATACCTAAGCTGGAGATATAGGTATAAAAATCGAGAGGACATCAAAAGCGACCGACCCCTTTTTTAATAATTAACTCGATTTCGACCGGTTGGTAACACTTTTTGCCGTCGCTTTGAAAAATTTCCCGCACAACAACGTCGGAAAAGCGGATTTTACTTAATTGGACATCGTTCTCCCGCAGGACGCTGCGCGGAAATCAAACAATTTGCGGTGGAAACGTAATTAAAAGTCGTAAGTAAGCAAGTCATGTATCAGTTTACCGGACGAGCACCTGGTGCACGACGTCCTAACGTGTCCTAGGACGCTAATTTGTTTCAGAAAGGAATACACTCGCACTGAATACTACTACAAAGACATTTTCTTGTCGTGTTGAAGTTTGGGGTTTTCTCTCTAGTTTGAGGTAGTCGAGGCGTGTTATCGTTAATTCGGTTTTATTGGAAAAATTTTTTTAGAGTCGCGAACGAACCGAACTAAACAAAATCCGGTCAATTTCGAGTCTAATATCGCGAAATCGTCCGGAGGAAAATAAAACGAAACAGACGATTCTCGGTCGAGCATCTAATCTGGAAAGGATATAAAGAGGATAATACAGAAATCACGGGACTTCTTACATTGGCTTCCTTTCGCTATCTCGAGAGCCATCTGCTTAATTGAATTTATTCGCTCCGTTTGTCGATAACACTAATGGCGATGTTTTCGTGAATTGCTCCTGTTTTTATTGATATTTTTTATTTTATTCCCCCTTCCGTTCGAATCACGCGTGATGACAATCGAGTAATTTCATTCGGTAAAGGTCTTATCTGGCGTTTAAAGACCCCGGAAATCCGGCGAATACGTTACCGCGATTGTGTCGAACCGATTCCAGTCATTAGACGGCAGTTAGCCGGGACTGAGATAAGCGCGTTACGGCCCTGGTAAAAGCCCTATTGATTGCTTTATCTTTTAATTAAACCAGGCGATAGCGGCTACATCGACGTTATTTCAGCTAGTCGATATAGCGATAGGTCGGGATGGATTTGTGTACCTTTTTATAATGCGAAAGGTCGGGATAGTTTGCGAAATCTTTACGACTTTTTTTTCATTGCCGATCGATTAATTAAATTCGAAGCCGCAGTTTTTGATACTATTTCATTCGGTGCGATTTTATTAGGCGAGTCCGGAACGATGAGCGATGGTAATTGTGATAATTCCGAACTTTGACCGTTACCGTCGCTATACTTCATTAGATCAGTTGAATTTACTAACATTCAACTTTCGAGGAACTTTTAATGGATACTAAATTTAGCGCGTAAAATTGAATTAGTTCGCCCGACGCCGTTGAATGGAATTAGGTGTTATTTTTTTAAATAGGGCGCTTCCGAACGTAAATAACATGAAGAGAAACTAAACGGATTAACGGATCATTTCTGCTTCTCTACATACGAGTTCCCAATGTGTGAATTATTGTTTCATTACGGCTGTAATGGCTGCTATTATCGAAAGTTAGGAGTGCATTATTAACTAATTTTTCTCGAAGTTCAGATCGGCAAATAGTTCAAGTAAATTTCCAGACCCTTAGCTTATTGAATTAGCCTGCAATTGATGTACTAACTCAATACCCTATACTGATCGATTCAATTCATCAATGCGTGCCTAATGTAATAGCTAAATGGACGCAGATGATGATTCAATTAACATCTACATTCTACACGTTATTAATCTATTGCACTGAATTACGGAATCATTGGTGTTTTGCACCGAGCAAATGTATAATACCTGCCCGCAAACGGTATTATCTTATCAGTTACGCGGACGATAAGCAGAAGTCCCCGTCAGGTGACAGACACCTGTAGAGGTTCGCACAAACGTTTGTTCGACTGTAGTAGAGAATTTTTTGCGGTGCAGTATTTGTTGAAACTGATCAGTTACCTATATTTAGATTATAAAGAGCGAGTAGTAACGGCAAAATGTCGGAAGAAAGCGAGCTGAGATTGGGGATGAGATGCGTCCAATACATGATTTTCGTTGCTAATTTCATGTTCACGGTAAGTAGAAAATCGAATTGTGTACCTACACATAAATTGCACCATTGCAAATGATTCACGTTTAATGTAATTGCATCTAGAGTTTTCCATAATGTTGCATGCATATTTTTTTATTAGCGTTTCGTAATTATAAGTGCACAGATAGTAGTTAATTAGGTTTAGAATAAACATTCTAATGAAATATTTTGTGTAAGTACCTATACACGATTCTATTCAGACATATTTCTTATAGCGACAATAATAAATTTGGAATGCAGAAAATATCTGAGTGGATTATTGGACTAATAATATTTCTAATATTTTATTGGAATAACAGATTAGTAACACAATAGGATTGATTAAATATAAGTATATTGTTCATGCGCTAAAATTAATTAATACGCCATGATAATAAAAATGTTTGTAGCGATAATATCTTATCTAAATGAAAAACAAAACCACAAAAGAATTATCCAATGAATTTGCACATTTCTCATTTATACTTTCAAATTCTCGACTAATTTCCCTAATATGCATATCTTACAATTTGTTTATAGACACCAATTAGCTATCTATTTGTGTACCTCAGATTATTATAAGATAAGGATAAGAAACCCTAATACTATTATCAGAATTTATCTGAGACAAATAAAGGATAAACCTATCTACATCTATAATTTTAAGCTCCATCTCAAGGGAAATTTAGCATATTAAATTAATTCGTAATATTCTCGCAGTTAGTGGGCCTTCTGTTGATCTCCATCGGTTACACGATCAAAGCGATCTACACAGACTTCGACGGGTTCCTGTTGTACCACTCCTGCAAATCGTCCAATTTCGCCATCGGAGTCGGCTTCCTCATCGTCGTAGTCGCCTTATTCGGATGCCTCGGCGCCATCAAGAAGAGCGTCTGTTTAGTCAATCTTGTAAGTCAACAAATGCCCAACTTCCTAATTAGCCGATGCTCGTCGCAAACTCGAGTATTTCCTCGGCTATAGCAACAGCGATAATTTTAAATATCGCGTATCAGTCGAAGCGGACGGCTCGTTTATCTCGGTTGTTATTGTATCTGTAAAATGTTCCTAAGGATATTGTGTTGTGCGTTTGCGTTAAAAGGGTATTATTGCGCCGAAATCGTAACGTTAAACGGCGATTGGTTATTAAACGACGATAAAAACAATATCACAAACGTTAAGGCGACGGTACCGGGCGGTATTTACAGCGATTTGATGAGTAACGGCGTTATAGGCGATATTTATTACGGTTATAACGACGAAAATACCAAATGGATACCGAGATTAAACTGGACCTACTCCAGAAGTTTCCAGATCGCGAAGAGTTTGTTGCTACAAGAAAATATCAATATAGTCTTCGATGGTTTGGATACATTCTCTTCTATATACCTCAACAATCAACTTATCGGGGAATCATCTAACATGCACGTGCAATACATTTTTGATGTAAAAAGCGTACTAAAACAAGGCGAAAATCGAATAGAAGTGAAATTTCTTTCACCAATCGAAACTGCATCTAAACTAGCAACGATACAAGAACAGAACTACCCGGTTCCCCCATCTTGCCCGCCATCAGCATACCACGGAGAATGCCACGTGAACATGATCAGAAAAATGCAAGCCTCCTTCTCCTGGGATTGGGGTCCCTCCTTCCCTTCAGTAGGAATTTGGAAGGACGTTTACATCGAATCCTACAACGAATCGCTCATCAGGTACGTCGTTAACGACGTTACCGAGGCGAAAGACGACAAATGGCGCGTTAATTTGGATGTATACCTCGCCAACAATCGCAGGAACGCAGTTAGAGGAAAGATACAATTAGACTTTAGCTTGCAATTCGTCTATATTACAAACGAAGTGGACGTTAATTGCGTAATTAACGAGCATAACGAGTTAGTCGTTACGACGTACGTGGAGATTCCGAAGGCGTACGTTAACGTTTGGTGGCCCAACGGGTTCGGTTCCAGCGATTTGTACACTCTAAAAGTTACTTACTACCATCAGGAATCCGAAATTAGCGTTAAGACAATCAGAATCGGTTTTAGGACTATCGAATTAGTGCAAAAACCGCTAGGGTCTAATCAAGGACTAACGTTTTACTTTAACGTAAATAAGGTGCCCATATTCATGAAGGGTTCAAACGAGATACCCATCGATATCTTACCGGAATTCGGTCGGAATAAAACCAGAATAAAACATTTATTATCATCAGCTAGAGATACTCACATGAACATGATAAGAGTGTGGGGCGGCGGCGTGTACGAGTCGGATTATTTCTACGACCTGGCCGACGAGTTCGGCATAATAATCTGGCAGGATTTCATGTTCGCCTGCGCCATGTACCCATCGAGCGATTCCTTCCTGCAGAACGTCTTGGGCGAAGTGCGGCACCAGGTGAAGCGGCTCTACGGACACGCCAGCGTAGCGATTTTCTCCGGTAACAACGAAAACGAAGGGGCTTTAGTGGGGAATTGGTACGGCACTGCTTCGAACTACCAGCAGTACTACGAAGATTACATAAAATTGTACGTAACGACTATAAAAAGCGAGTTCGATAGGTTAACCGGCGGTAGAGGGATTTTCATCACTTCGAGTCCCACCAACGGGAAGGAATCCGATTCCGAAGGATACGTTGCGAAAAAACCTACAAGCACTTTATACGGCGACGTTCATTTCTACAATTACATCTTAAATCCTTTCAACTCGAATTTCTATCCTATTCCGCGATTCGCTTCGGAATACGGTTACCAATCCCTGCCTAGCTTCCATTCGTTTCTAACGGCGACCAACGACACAAACGATTTGAACATCAACAGCTCGTTTATGAATCACAGACAGCACCATCCTTTGGGTAACATCGAAATGCAATTATTGATGAAGTTGTATTTCAAATTTCCGAATACCAGCGGCGACGATTTCGCCGAAGGTGTGATTTATTACTCGCAAATAGTGCAAGCGCTGGGCATAAAGGTGGAGAGCGAGCATTATAGGAGGTGCAGGAGCAGTTTGAACGACAAAGGCGAGGGGTACACAATGGGCGCTTTGTTTTGGCAATTGAATGATGTCTGGATGGCGCCTTCTTGGTCTGGGATAGATTATTTGGGTAAATGGAAAATGCTGCAATATTACGCTAAAAATTTCTTCGCTCCGATTATAGTTACCGGGCACGTAAATGTGCAAAACGTTTTGGATGTTTACCTGGTATCAGACGTGTTATCGCCCTTGGATAATTTAACTGTATCTATATTAGTGTACAATTGGACTAATTTCAAACCAATTAATGTCGAAAATGTGCTAGTAGATACGCAAATTGGTTCGTCAGCTGTCGTAAAATCGATCCAAATCGATGATTATTTAAAAGGAATCGGCTGTTCCAAAACCGATTGCTTCTTCTATTTCACGGTGGAGAAAGAAGGCGCCAAAATAGCTCCAGATAATTTCGCATTTCCAACTGCCATCAAGGATTCCAGTTTATCGCCAGCCAAAGTTGCAATAAACTCAATCAAACAAATCTACGACAAAATCTTCGATATCGAATTAACCAGCGACAAAATCGCGCTCTTCGTTTGGCTGGAAAATCTACAAGTAGAAGGCAGGTTTTCCGACAACGGATTCATCATCAACCAACCTACCCAACACGTTTATTTCACTGCTCATTGTAATGTTAGTTTCGAAGATTTCGAAAAAACTTTGACTGTCACGCATTTACTGAATCAGAAATACTTTTTGTAACTTGCTAAATAAACAAAATACACCTCAATTCGGTAGTTTTACTCGACAATAAAGCTGCAGGCGTCGCTGATTGACTGCAACAAATTACTTTTTTTTTCTTTTCCAGTACGCATTATGCCTGCTTTTAATAGTCTTTTTAGAAGTAGCCATCAGCGCATCAGCCTACATATCGCGAGATCACATAGCGGCGAGACTTGAAGAAGACATGTACACCAGCATGTATCACTTCAATGACGAAACGAACTTCTTATGGAGAGCTTCCCAATCCAACGTAAGTAAACATTAAATTCCAATCCATTACTCACGATTGTTACCTAACAAATCTAACGAAAGAGTCTTGCAGTTGCACTGTTGCGGAGTCAGAGGACCCAACGACTGGGGCAAATTCCAAAGCATCTTCGGCAATTTATTGGAAAATGCAACCTACAATGACGTATATAATGCAACGCCGAGGAATTACATTGTACCATCCAGTTGCTGTCGCAATGAAACTTGCAACACCGCATATTCCCTTTACATACAAGGGTGCTTGCCGAGGATCAACTTCATCTTCTCGCAGAGCGCTCTTCTTCTAGGAGTCGGCGCCATGTGCATTACTTTCATCCAGGTAAATGTCGAGTAATTGTGTAATAAGTGAGTATATTTAATTGACTATTTTTGTAGTTGTTGGGAGCTATATTCGCTCATCTCCTTGCCCGCTCGATCAGGAAACTGAAGACCCAAGTGGAGGTGGAGAGGAACATCAGAAGGCAGCAATTGTACGAGCAATTGGCCCAAGCCAAGAATGCTGAAACCAAAACCACTCCAGTTTTATACGTACCCTCCACTTCCGAAGCATAATTGCCGCATTAATTACGATTAGGAGATAAGTACTTTTAGTTATGTTGTATAGAAATTAATCTGTATAATAAGAGTACATTTTTGCGAAATTAAAATGTTGTGCTATAAAGTAAGCTCTCCAATTTTTATTTCGTAACCTAAATATAATCAAACCGGCACAGGACGATCCCGAAACTAAATTGCCATATAATAACTTGTTTATCCTGATCCTGGCTCTTTCCGAAAAAAACGTATATACAAAGGAAAAGTTAACGTCAACCTTCCAGCCGTCGAAATACGCTAGGGATACAGTAAAGTTGATGTCAATTTAGGGCGTTTTATCGCAACGCGGCCCGTCTCTTGTGTTATATAAAAAAATTGTATATGAAAACGGAAAGTTTAGAAAATATTATCGACGCTACAAGGTGGAATAATCGAAAGTGAGGTGAGATCTGGCGAAAATCCCCCGGGCAAACTTATTACTGGGCAATTTTAAAAAACACCTCCAGGTTAAATCGAGCTAAATTGTCTACTTTATCAAAAGGAAGCATTCGAGGCGCTCCCGAGGCTCGAATTAGGGAAAGTCACGTATACGGTGCAGATAGAAACGCAGTCTGGACAGGTGGGGATCATTTACATATTCTGAGGAGCACGATGACGCTCGAAATGAATATTAAGAAGGGCGAGGTGTATTTTTTTGTGTATTTAAAACGACGAAAATTCCTAATAAATCTTGATAAAATAAACGACCCGCATTTTTCTACCTACTCGCCTCTGAAATTTTATAAACGCGTATTTAATTACAACGAACAAAACCAACTCATTGTGAAGTTTGAAATTACGCTAGATGGAAAAAATGGAGTGCGATTTGTTGGAACCCGAAAGAATTCCCGAATGATTCAAATTCAATAGGTCAGTAAAAACGGGAGGGAACGGATCCGAAACGACCTATATGCTTCGAACGAGATATTGAGCGAATATATTTACTACTATGGTCGTATTGGCAGTTACATATAGATACTGAACAACCTTTCCATTGTTGTGCAGCCTAGCTTTGATAACGTCGGAATAATAAAAAAAATCCGATGTGGATGTATCATCTTTTTGTAGATCGGATCGATCTAATGATTCGTTTGTCTGGCAAATTTCTGCACGAATTCTGACGAATTTTTGTAGATAAAAAAATCGCGCGTCTTATTTAATTTTTTCTACGATAGTAGCGATTCCTCTCACGCCTCCTACCCTTAGACGAACAAAACGACGGGCGTCTCGACAAATAAAAGTCGCCGACGCTCTTTTTTGCGGCCTCCGGAGTATTCGCATACACTCGGCAGAAGGCGAAACAGCTCGAATAAAAACACTCAATTTCACCCGAAAGTTTTTAACAATCCCGCTATTAATTGCGGGCACCTTTGTATAAGCCGGATTATTAAGCGTGCTTCGGCAATTTACAAGTGGAGTTGATGATTACAACTATCCCCGACTTCGCTCACAACAAGCCAGAAACTGTCACTACGTTATCACTTATGCGCAATTATTGGCCAGTCACATTAATGGACGTCGGTTGGTATTTTAGCCGTTAATTAGTTGTGCAGACAATCGTTATTAATTACACGAGGCCTCTAGAAGGTAATTTATGTTAGAGCAAAAAAATTAAATTTGAATTTTACGCACAATACGCGCTTTGTGTTAGTGTTGATGGCCGTTGTACTTCGAAAATTAATTAATATATTTGGCCCGTGATCGATCGTACGTTTATTTTTTAATTAAGTATTGCAGTGGAAGTTTTCTGGTCTTGGAGAGCAAGCGGTCCGGGACTTGGCAATCGAAAATTGCTCGTTTTCCTTTTGCCTTATGTGCATTTCGGGTTATTGTTTGGTCGAATAGTTGGAAATTGTGTTTCATATTGTTGTGAAAATATGCGTCAGTAGACGTCTTGTTCCATCGGAACTCAGCGACAATTCCGATCGATTATAGGGCTATAATTAGAGTTTCCAATTTCTCAATTCGGGTTAATTATGCCAGAGTAATTTCTGCTGCGAATTAAATCGATTCTCTTTTGATGTTTCGCCTTCGGTTATAATTGTTGTTAATTGATCAACGGCCTAAGAAACTCAACTACAATGAGCCCTTATTTTAATTAAAAAATTCATCGCTACTAAGCCACCTTAATCCCGCTCCCAAAAGATTAACCTACTACGCCTAATTACACGAAAAAAAATTCATATTTAATAAATCACTTAATATAAGACCCAGAAAACAATTCCTCGCCTTTAAGAGAGTCCCTATACCGAAATTATGTAACGAACTCCGTGCAGCGAAGGCCGCATCTCCTGCTCCACATCCCCAAACGCCGGGATGGTATTTCATAAGGCGCATAAATTAACTTTACCCAGACTTTATTAAACCAACAGCGAAACGCGCGGAATTTTTTACCCGACTAGGTAAAAAGGATTTCGCGAAAGCGAGCTAAACTTCAGGCATACCTGTTATTTTCTAATACTTCCAGCCTCAAAAAAAAACTATCTATATCGTATGTGATGTTTGCTTTAATGCAGAGATGACGTCACAAGTTGGAAAATCGAATGTACTATACGCATATATTCGCGTAAACTAGATTATCTTCTAGTTCTAATTAGAATTTAATCCTTGTTGTAAGGCATTGTTCGGGTAAGGGATTTTTGCGGTTTAATTTATTATTTCCGATGCAACTGGAGTCCGGGGGCGGCGAGGCAGTAAGTACGTGTCCTGGATATCTATTTTCCTTTATTACGCCTTACCAATTTGGAATAGTTTGGCGCACTAGCATATTGAGAAATAGCGATCATTGATAAGGGCGCTTTGGAATTTTGTGTGTGTCGGCCGGAGAGTCCGTTTCATTAAAAATTTCACCTTTCCTCCGGCGCATAGAATTCAATTTCGCATTGAATTAAATTAAATGAGTAATTGTATTTCTGTTAAAGTAACGTTTCAACTCGTGATTGTAATATAGTATAGCCGGTTCTAATCTTGTTATCTGCGAATCCTCTTCAATGGATGAACAGGTATTCATTACATAGCGCACATTATGCGGGGAATTAATTCTGTAATGTCACCTGACACCGATTTACAAACCAAAATTACTGGATAAATACCGGTACAATATCTACATATAACACAAGATGTTCCAATTTAACGTATACAAATTGTATTTAGTGTATGATTTTAAAATTATTTTGGGTTGTATACGCGGCGCACAATTTATTGGATAAAAAATTGAACTTAATACGAAGAAGTTTTCTCATAAAAAAATAACCCGGACTTGGAATATTTTTTCCCGCTTCAGCCTAACGATGATTTTTCAATTCCGCCTTATACCTGCAGCCTTCCCGGGTTCGCATTTTCCCGAATATAAAATTCTAATTGACTTGGCATCTTATTTACGAATAAAAATTCCGGCTCGAGGACTCCGAGCATTTAATCTCGAGTTTTCGGATAATAATTCAAGGGATGAACCTTTTTCGGATTCCATTTTGTTTCTACGTCTCTCCGTGCGCTTTCCATTTCTTTTTTCCCGCTCATATGTCGAAAATTCCACGTATACCCGACGAGGAATTCCTACCGAGTTAGGTATTCACTTTATGATATATATTCGAGAGAATACACCTATACGCCTTTTTTTTTCTACCCCGTAAGGTTGTATAGAATTTATTAAATAATGCATATTACATACACACTCTCGTTCAATCCACTTAATGTGATGGATCGCTTGGATGAAATTTAAAATTTGTTAATGTGTAGACACAGTCTGATAGAAATAGCTAGAGACGTTATATGAGCGACTTTTAAATCATTGCGCATCCGACCACTCTAGTTATTACTTTTGGTCTGTAAGTTTACTTAATAACTAAGAGTTTACTTGAATAATGTACAGTTCCACAGTAATTTTTCGGTATCAAAGTAACTATGCAACGAATGACGGGCGGTTGAACTGCGACGTAAACTTCCTGCGTGAAATTCGCGTCGGTTGGATTTGCGGAAAGTTTGCGGGCCGGAGGATTTTCCGTCGGCGCGTCGGCCAAAAGTAAACGAGGAAAGAGCGCTCGGGCGCTCGGTTTGACGCGGCGGCCTTCCCGTCCGAAAAGGATTGCGGTCCGCGGAACTATTTGACGAGGGGCCCCCGTCGGAGCCGAAAATAAAAGAGGGTTCGCTCTGGAAAAGTCGAGAGGGCGTCAAAGAGAAACGGCCGCACCGCAGACGTTGCCCGGAAACGCTCGGAAACTTGTGCCACGTGAATGTTTAAAAACACTATTACTCTATCGAAAGCCCAAGTTTCCTGCGGATTCGCTCGGAGTTTTGGTTCGCCGTTTTTACTGGGTACGATAAGTTACTTTCGCGACCTCGACGAGCAGTTACCCGCGGTTTTTGCCGCTTTACTTTCGCCGACTATAAATTATAAAACTCTGTATATCTCGACTGGGTTTTTCTCGCTCCCGCTGCACTTCGCTCTAATAAATTAATTTGTGTCGTAGGTCGCAACTTTGTTCGCTTTCGAGGATGTAGCCGCGTCGAAAACGTACGGGGTATATGATATATCTGAAGACTTTTGCCGTTAGAGATCCGGAACTCTGGCAGGACCATCAGTTACAATATCTCCATAATGATATTGATTTTAAGCGGATGGAACTCTTTGGGAAATTGAAACGGGTTTAAGGGGGTGCCCACAGGGACAGAAATTACTTAGCTAATTTTTTAAATTCTCGATAAATATTCAATAATAAAATAAATTCCCTGTACCAGATTTAGTATGTACCTTAAGGCTAAGGTTAAGGCTTTACGATCGTCGATAAAACGAAAGCATTCGCGAAATAGATCCCGTACGAATGACAAAATAATTTAAGAACTTGCATTTCATGTATACCCAAAGATCCTAGATATAATTTGATGCAGAATGTAGCCGATTCTTGCGCGCCTTTTATTACATATATCCTACTTCTTTTTACAGTGGCGTTTCAACGGGAATATCGTCATACATTCGAGAAAATTGTGAGAAATATTTCAACAATCTCATAATGTCATTGCGCTTTGATAGCTCTAGTCCTAGTGTAATATATTACTGATTTCAGAGAGTTGCTGGTTAATAATACATTTGATT